TTCGAACTACACTTGTTTACAAATATTGAAAATGGATCGTAAAAAATTAATAAATCTTATAGATATTTTAATCTTGATGAAAATAGTAGTTTCAAAATGTTTAGTTGATGGATGCGAAAAAGTTGTAGAAGAATGCGCCTTTTTCAGTCAGTTTTTATTCAGAAAAATATTGTATTTATGTATATAAATTACACATATAATGGTATATATATATATATATATATATATATATATATATACCAACCTATTTTACCTTCTGTTAGAGCGTGGTCCTTCCCCTGTCGAGCCGACCCATTCGTGCTACAACTATAGTACTAATATAGCTGCAGCCTGCAGCATAGTGCTACCACATCATACCTTGTCATATTTACCTGTTAGACTTTTTTAGATTTACGCAAATATTTGACATTTTAAATAAAACTATCAATATTATTTTAGCCAATATCATAAACACTAGTGAACCGTTTTGAGGAAATCGATATTATTCCATAAGTTGAAATAAATAAAAAACGAATGATCACGATCCGACTAGTTTCGGAGAAATGCGTGGACAAACATACATACATACATACTTATATATATACACGTATAAAATTTTATATATTTGCTTGGAAACTCTAATAGATAATTATATGTGAATATTTTGCAGTTCCAATAATATTACATACATACGTGTCGAATTGATAACCTCCTTTTTTTAAAGTCGGTTAGAAATTCAAACCGACATTACGCTTAACAGAACATATCCTGAAAACTACTAAAGCGATTTTTATAAAAATTGCACTGTTCTTTAAGTTGAAAGTTGCTTAATGTAATAAAAAAGTGTGTGTGTACTTATATACGCCCGTAGGAATTTACACTTTTTTAGCGTAACAAACAAAAAATAAAGTGATATAGGATCAAATAAAAAATGATATAGGATCCTACTTTATCGTTATCTCGCACATGCGCAGATAACGTTACTGTATTTTAACGGTATTTAAGTCCCTGCCTGATGGTAAGTGACTACCCCCGCCCATGAACAACCGCAACACCAAGGGAATTTCAGATGCGTTGCCGGCCTTTTAGAAAGGCGTAAGCTCTTTTCTTGAAGGTTCCTAAGTCGTATCGGTCCGGAAAATTCGCTGGTGGTAATTGATTCCACAAGGAAGTTGTGCGAGGGAGAAAACTTCTTCTAAATCGCACAGTGGTAGACCGCCAATTATCCAGATGGTATGGATGGTAACGCGAGTTTTGTCGCGATGTGCGATGGTGAAATTGAGCGGCTGGAATTAGTCCGAACAATTCCTCAGAGCACTCCCCGTGATAGATGGGATAAAAAACGCAAAGAGATGCAACATCTCTACGCAGTGCCAGTGTATCGAGCCGATCAGAAAGAACTCGGTCGTCGACGATTCGAACCGCTCTGCGCTGGATGCGGTCAAGTGGAGCTGGCACTGGGGTGCCCCGAACAGTATTCCATGTGAGGCCGAACTTGCGCTTTGTAAAGTTGCAAGCGATGTGCCGGCATGAAATACTGTCTCGCTCTGCTGAGCACGCCAAAGTGAACTGAACTGGACTAGATTTAGTCGGCCCCAATCCGAGACTTTGTTCAGCAAAGACTCGACTTCAGATACAAGTTTGTCCCGGTACTCGACGACGTTTTCCCGAGAAATATTGGCACGGCCGGTATATAAGGCATCACCAGTGCTGTCGTCGGCATAGCAATGAATGCTACCAGTTAGCAACATATCATTGATATGCAGGAGAAACAGCGTTGGTGATAGCACGCAGTCTTGTGGAACACCAGCGTTGATAGGCTTGAAATCAGAGCATGCACCGTCTACTACGACCTTGATGCTCCGATCAGCAAGGAAACTGGTGATCCATTTGCACAATTTCTCGGGAAACCCATAAGAAGGAAGCTTCGAAAGAAGCGCTTTGTGCCAGACCCGATCGAAGGCCTTCGCTATGTCCAAACTAACGGCCAATGCCTCCCCCTTGGACTCTACTGCCTCCGCCCATCTATGAGTTAAGTAGACTAGAAGATCACCAGCTGATCGACCCCGACGAAAACCGTACTGGCGGTCACTAATCAGCTGGTGATCCTCAAGGTACCTCATGAGCTGGCAGTTTATAATGGATTCCATTATTTTGGAGAACAAGGAGGTGATGGCGATAGGCCTGTAGTTGGACGGGTCTGAGCGGTCGCCGTTTTTAGGGATCGGGTGGACCAAAGCTGTCTTCCATGAATTCGGGACTACGCCTTGGGAGTAGGAGTACCGGAAAAGACGCGTTAAAACCGGTGGCAACTCCGGAGCACACGTCTTCAGCACAATGGGAGGGACTCCATCGAGCCCACTCGACTTGCTGACGTCCAGGGAGAAGAGTGCTTTACGAACCGAGCACTGTGTAAATCGCACATCCGGCATGGAGCACTCACATCGCGGGATGGTCGGCGGTGTGTTCCCCCCGCCCCCGTCATCTAGAGTCGAGTTGGACGCAAAAAGAGAGCTCAACAGATCGGCTTTCTCCTTTGCGATGGGCCAGTGAGTCGTTCTCTCTGTGCAGAGATGGAAGAGATGGCTGACAGAAGTTCCCTTGGACAGCCTTCGCGAGAGACCAGAATGCACGGGTTCCCGAAGGAAGGCGAACTAGCTTCTCGCCAATTCTGTCGATGTGCTCAGGCCTTGCCTTGGCAATGACGCTTTTGAAGGACCTTAAGGCGGAATTATACTTCTTTTTAAGTGCGCTGGTGTTTACATCCTGAGACGTTGACGCGTCAGCCCAGGCCCGGTAGCACTCCTGCTTATAGCGTGATGCTATTTTACAGAAGCGACCAAACCATGGCTGGGATCTGCCTCCGATGGGCACCACAGAGGATGGAATAAAAAGTTCCATATCCTGAAGTACCACATCAGCAACAGAATCGTCAACAACGCTGGGATCTTCCGGCGAGAAGCAAACCCGCCCGCAAGGGTAGGATGCAAAAAAAGACCGCACCCCGTCCCAATCAGCTGACCTATAGTGCCAAACACGGCGGCAAGCTGCAGATCACAACTGCGATTGGAGCGCGAGTGGCACCGTACTCCGGATCAGACAATGGTCCGAAGAGCCCAGAGGGGCATCGACGGAGACCTGATATCCGTCCGGATTAAAGGTCAGCAGAAGGTCCAGCAGGGAAGGTACATGGTCTTCCACATCTGGAATCCCGTAGGCGAAGTAACCAGTTGTGTTAGACCATATGCCAAAGCAAAGTCATAGACAGATCTACCCGCATGATCGGTTAAACGAGAACCAAGCCATTCAGCGTGGTGGGCGTTGAAATCACCGAGTATCACGATCTCTGCGGATGGGACCTGTTGTAGCACGGAGTCTGCAGCCATTTGGACGTGGTCGCTGAGTCGGTCTGTGTCGGCATTACCGCTATGGGACCTATAGAGGCACCCGTAGACGCGGGGATGGTCGTCGCTGTCTACGCGCAGCCATAGGATGGACAGGTCTGTACCTTCAAGACTGCCGAGGCGTTGAAAACAGATGTCTTCTCTGACGTATACGCGAACTCCAGCCCGGGGCACAAAGGAGTGTTCCAATTTGTACCCCGGGTAGGAGAGATATGAAGTATCGGCCGGAGAGGACACCTGAGTCTCGGTTGAAAAGAGCAAGGCCGGCTTCGCCGTCTCTAGATGGTAATGGACAGCGTTAAGGTTGGAATGAAGTCCCCTGATGTTGCAAAAATTCACGGATAGCGTGACAGGAGTCGGCTTGGTTGTATTGCTCCGAGCAGCATTAGTCGCGATCGGAATTTTGCCCCCTCCCCCCTCCCCCCCCCCCAGAATACGCGGGGCAGCCTGAGCAGCCACGCTCAGGAGTGAAGTAGTTTGGTCGTGGATACTCAGCGAGGGATTCTCCAGGGGTGCTGGTACCCTCCTGGGGTAGTCTTTTATTTAATTCCACTACCATGTTGAGGGGGGGGGGGGGGGGGGGGGAATTGTGCCTCCGGCGACCTGCACTCACCAAGCGCAACGCAGAGGTAAACCTCTACTTCACGCTGGTATTCTGTGAGGTCGTGGTACCACCCCGGCTCGAGCTGGCCCATTCGTGCTACAGCAAAAGCTACCGCTTAGCTCTACCACTGTTAGAAAGAAAGCCTCGAAGGACCAAAAAAATTAGGAGTTGTCTACATTTAATACTTAAAATGATAATTTGAGATGATATCTATACCAAATAAATGAAATTGAAGTGTCTGTTTGTAATGTCAAAATTACAGCCTTTTACTAAATGCATATAAAAAAATATAAACGGTACTTATAAGAAAAATACAATTTTTTAAATTTTTGTCTGTCTGTTTGTTTGTTCTGGCTAATCTCCGAAACGGCTGGACCGATTTTGACGGGATTTTCACTGGCAGATAGCTGACGTAATAAGGAGTAACGTAGGCTACTTTTATTTTAGAAAAATAATTAGAGTTCCTCGCAAAAAAAATTAAAACCCTAAATTACACCCGGGCGGAGTCGCGGGGAACAGCTAGTATTGTTAAGTGGACACTAATTTTATAAAAGTAAAGCATTTACAATTTTGCCGCGTTTATGTAACGCGACGCGTTAAAACGCTTATGTAAAAAATTTCGAGTAGCTCATACAACTTTTAATTATTGTTGGATTCTTTTATAAAAGTAAAGCATTTACGATTTTGCCCCGTTTACGAAACGCGACGCGTTAAAAAGCTTATGTAGTACTTAATATCAATAAAAATTTCGTGTAGTTCCTACAACTTTTAATTATTGTTGAATTCATGTATCCGTTGAGTCGACCAAGCAATACCACAAGCCCAAAGTAATAATGTTGGCTAAATAATTTACAATAAAAAAATCGTCACCTTTAGGGGTGGAATTATCCATATTTAATTAAAAAAAAACACCGAAAAAGTGGTTAAAATACACATACAAAATCATATTATGCGTCGAATATACCTCCTCCTTTTTGGAAGTCGGTTCAAAAGGCCTGTATTTGTATTTGCAGGTGCTGAACTCTGTGTCGCTGCACCAGATCAAAAAGCAGTCGGGCAAATCATTACGCGCGTGGCTGGAGCTAGAGCACGGGCCGCCCACCAGCGAGGGCTTCCTGCGCGCGCAGCACAACTTCGTGGAGTCCGCGGCCGCCTACGCGCTCACTAGCTACCTGCTGCAGCTCAAGGACAGGTGATTGCACGCTACACCACACCGCGATAATTTAAATAGTGAATATGTAGATAGGTAGGTTGATTGCGCATGGAGGCCCCATACTATGGCCTGCAAACTCGCCGGATCTTTCACCGTTAGACTTTTATTTGTGGGGTGAATTAAAGAGTCGCGTTTACGTCAAAATGGACCAAAGTTATGAAGACCGTCACAGTAAAATTATTGCTGCGTTCACGGAAGCTAAAAGTGCTTAAGCACAGGTATTAAGTATAAAAAATAATAATTTAGGAAGTGCTCGTTCCTATGCATAGAGAAAAATGTATTCCATCTTGAGGTATCAATATTAGTTATTGGGACTAATAGCGTAATGTAATTGTAAATAGTTTTTAAATCCTAAGTCCGTTAAAAGTGTGAAGGGAAAATTGGAATAAGAAGAAAGTAAACAGTAGGCTAAAACTTGAAAAATCGAAAACGTGAATTTAATTGCACACATAGGAGCGTGTGTACGTGTAGTTTTTGTCAATAAATCACTTTCAATTTGGGATACTTTCAAATGAAAGTAGAATCTAATTTACTCGTATTTTCAGAAATTGTAATATCGGTATTTTACTATTTATACATTTGAACTTAATTATAAAATTTGGTTACTCATTGAAAATTACTTAAACTTACTAAACTATGAAAAAAAAATTACGTAGTAGATTTATACAGTGTTGATAAATTAGCGGAGTATTTAATGTTGCATTTCTCTCAAAAAGGCAAAATTATAAAAGAAATTGCAAATTATAATGATTATTTTGTTTTTTCAGGCACAATGGAAACATTTTACTGGACAGCGCAGGCCACATCATTCACATTGACTTTGGATTCATTTTTTCGACGTCTCCTAAGAACCTAGGTTTTGAAAGTTCACCTTTCAAGGTAATTTATATTTTAAATTTGAGTTTTTCTAATTTACTGATAATACCAATGAAAGGGACAGCGAAGAGAGCAAGTGGACTTTATGATTTTTAAAATGACTTAATGACTTCGATAGCTGAGACTGAGACTAAGTGGACTGTATGACTTTGACCGTTGTTTTTTTCTGCTGTCAGAGTAATTGGTGGTTACACGTTGTTTTTCTACTGAAATAAGTTTTTAATTCTTTTTCTATTTAAATTTGCGTAAACTTTCTCAATTTTCTTTGTGTTGTCTCTGTGTGTTCTGTTTGTTAGTTGGTGAGTATTATTTGTTTAGATAGTTGATGTAGACCTTTGTGACGACGATGGATGTTGACGGGGGAGACGCTGTACCACCGGATTTATGCGGTGATTCTAGCTCTGTCAAACGTAAACTTACGGATCCTTTACCCAGCTTCCCAAAGAAAAAAATAGGGCACAAAGATCATCCTTCGGCCTCCTATCAAAATACATTCGTCCACCCTGAATTCCAAGAAAAAAAAAGTATGTAGATAGCGATATAGGCCCCTTCGTTTATTCACTTAAGGCGCTCAGAACCTGATCTATCAGCAGGTTATACAATTAGACCTGTGAAAATTGGCCATATCCTCTCATAAAATAAAGTAGCCAATATTGAAAAACAGGGCATCAAAATCTTAGGGCGTAATAGAGTTTCAATTGCTTTTAAAACAGCTACTGATGCTAATAATTTTATTGACTCTCAGTTTCTTTCACAATATAAACTTTCTGCTGTCATTCCAACTTTTAATGTTACTCGTATGGGTGTGATTAGGGGTATCCCAACTGACATCTCTATGGACGAATTAGTTTGTGAATCTGAGCTCCCTCCTGGCAGAGGGGAAATCATTAAAGTCAGAAGACTTAATAGAAAGGTCAAGAAGGGCGATGAAGTAGAGTAGGTCCCTAGTCAAACTGTTGTCCTAACCTTATCTGGACAAGTGCTCCGCTCCCATATATACTGCTTTTATGCATCAATACCTGTAGAGACTTACCTTCTCCCTACCATCCAGTGTCTAAAATGCTGCCGTTTCGGTCATGTCAAAGCTCAATGTCGATCCAAACCTAAGATCCAAACTTTAAATGCAGCAAAGAGCATACTGGAGAAAATTGTGCCACAGATTCCCCAACCTGTCTTTTCTGCTCTGCAAATCATTCGGCCATTGAAAAAAGTTGCCCTGAACACTGAAAGCAAAAATCTATCAAGATAGTAATGTCGCAAGAGAATGTGTCATACCTCGAGGCTTCTGCTCGTTTCCCAGCTGTCAGAGGACCTTATTCTGATGTTGCATCCTCACAAGTTCCTGCAAGCCATCTCCCCTCTACTCAGGCTCCTATAAACCATCCTACTTTTCCATCTCCTTCCCAATCCTATAGGAAAACCATCTATAAAGCCAAATCTATTCCAGCGCAATCTTCAGTAGGTTATGATAAAGTTTCACATTACAACATTACAAGTACTCCTTCCTCATCTCTCCCCAATGGACATGCTCTACAAAACAATGTAATATCCTCTAATGACAATCTTCTAGAAAGTCTTGTGGCCTCCCTTACAGATATTGTTGGCAAATTTGATGATTCCCATTTACCGTTCAACATGAAAAACAAACTAGATGTCCTTTTCTCCAGAATATATAAAGTTCGAGTCCCTAACCCTCCTCCAGTGGAATTGTCGGAGCATCAGGAATAAGAAACCTGACATAATTCACTTAATTAACTCCTATAATCCTTCAATACTTGTAATATCGGAAACCTGGCTTAAGCCAGGGTTCTCATTTAGAATCCCAGGTTTCTCCTGTTATCTTAGTGATAGGAGTGACGGCTATGGCGGTGCTCTGATTCTACTAAACAGAACCATTCCCTTATCACCTATACAGCTTCCTCCTATACTAGGCAATATTAATGCAGTAGCTGTTAAGGCTTTGGACATCACAATTCTATGCATCTACATTCCAGCACCCACTCCTCCTTGTATTCCAGAACTTAATTTAATCTTATCAAGCATCTACCCACCTTTCATTGTTCTGGGAGACTTCAACAGCCATCGTGTTATGTGGGGTTCCCATAAATCTGACTCTTTTTCTTATTTGCTACTTGATGTCTTCAATGAATTTAATCTTTGTCTTCTAAATGATTGTTCTCCCACCAGAATGTCCTACCCTTCGCAGAATACTAGATCCGCAGTAAACTTGTCATTGTGCTCTTCAATCTTGGCTGCTAGCATATCATAGAAAACTCTTCCTTCCTCTTTTGGTAGTGATCACTTTCCCATCCTCTTAAACCTAAGTAATAGATGTGCCCCTACTCGAAGTATACCTCCCCTTTTCAAATTCAACCTGTCTGAAGCTGATTGGGATGTATTTTCCTCAGAATCAGAACTTCATATCAATAACCTTCCCCCAGTTTCTTTAGATAACCTTCAGAGTATCTACTCACAATTTATAACCCTTCTGAATAATATAGCCTGCAAAATTTTCTCTTTGAAGAATTCCTCCACAAAAAAAATTTCTTCACCTCCATGGTGGGATGCAGACTGTTCCTCAATTATTAGAAAACGAAAGGCTGCAGAAAGGCTATATTCCTCTAATATGACCATGGAAAATTTTCTAGATTATCAAAAAATAGCTGCTCAGACCAAAAAACTTCTTTCCGAAAAGAAAAAAAAGGATGGCTTTCATTCTGTGAGAGCCTATCTCCGCGGTCACCTTCTTCTCTTGTTTGGAAAAGTATCAGGCGCTTCCGTGGTGCTTTAAATTATAGTAATCCCGCTTGTGCAGACCCTTCCCACTGGCTAGACGACTTCAGTAACAGACTGGCTCCCCCCTGGGTTCCTATGGAAGAAGAGATATTTCCTAACTCTAAATCATTCCCTCCTCATTCATCTAACTCTCTTAATAACCCTTAATGAACCATTTTCAATAGCTGAACTGCAGATAGTACTTAGGCACCTAGAATATCACTCCTGGCATTGATGGTATCCCCTACTCATTTCTTGTTAATATGGGTAGTAAGTGTAAGCAGTTCTTTTTAAACATCATTACCTTGCTTTTACAACCGGTTCCATTCCTGATGATTGGAAAACTCATATTATTATACCCATTCTAAAATCTGGTAAAGATCCTTCTTCAGCATTAAGTTATCGCCCTATTGCTATTTCATCAATCTTGTCTAAAATCATGGAGCACCTCGTAAAAAATCGTCTTGAGTGGATTCTTGAAAATAGAGGCATTATACTAACGAGCCAATTTGGTTTTAGGAAAGGTTTTAGCACAATGGATAGCCTTAGCATCTTAGTATCCGATATAAGACTTGCCTTCTCCAATAACAATTTTCTGGTAGGCGTTTTTATTGATGTTTGTGCGGCATATGATAATGTTGTTCTCCCACTGCTCAGGCAAAAAATGCATCAACTGAACATTCCTGAGAGAATAACAAATTTCGTATCAAACTTATTTTCACATAGACGCATATTAGACCGTTCTTAAGGGAGATTCCTACCAGCTAGATTTACTTGGAAGGGACTACCACAAGGCTCTGTCTTGAGCCCTTTGTTATACAGTCTCTACACTCATGATCTAGACAGATCTGTGAATTACTTAGGTAATGTCCTGCAATATGCAGATGACCTAGCCTTGCCAGCCATCTAGCCATTATTCTAAATTTCGGAATAGATAAGAATACTATTGAAGTAAATAACAAATTAAATATGCTCCTCCTCCAAAATTGGAATGATTGGTTAATTATGTACACTGATGCCTCAAAGCTAAGTGACGAGGGATTAGTTGGGTCCGCAGTCTGGATCCCCAAATACAAGATTATTTTAAATTTTAACTCTCCGCCTGACTCATCTGTATTCACAGGTGAATCTTTAGCTATTTTAGAGGCAGTCTTATATGCGGAATCTCACAATCTGGAAAGGACTCTCATTTTCTCAGACTCCCTCAGTTGCTTTCAAAGCATTGCATCCAGTCCTTTTTACCCTAAGATAAGATACCCCCTAATTTTAAATATTAGAAAGTCTCTGTACAACTGCCATAAAAAAGGGCTGAAATTGTCTTGGCATGGATCCCTAGCCACTGCGGGATTCAGGGTAATGAAATTGCGGATCATTTAGCTAAAAAAGCCACCAAATCTGGCTCCCTAAACAATGCCTCTATGCATATGACCTACCAAAGGCTGGATCCAGTCTTCTGTCTACATGGCAAAGTATCTGGCATCAGTCTAAACTTTTAAAATGTAAATACTATTCCAAAGTCCAAATTAATATCCCATCAAAACCCTGGTTCTTTCAATATCGCCACTTTAATAAAACAATCACCTCCACTGTTTGTCGCCTTCGCTTTGGACATGCTTGTACTCCGGTACACTTGGCTAAACTAAGGATTAGGGATAGCTCAATATGTGAATGTGGGATAAACAATCGTAGTTATATTTCATATAGAACATTTTGCCACAGGTTAGAAAGGGAGCGATCGTCTTCTCGAAAGCCCGGTAAGAAGCCCACGCGTGCGAGAGAGACGACTAATTGTTCAACTTAACTCCTTTTTTATGACAACAGTATCGCGCCGTAAAGCAATCTGCCAAATGTTGACGTTACATAATAGGGCTACGAGGTCACGACCTGTGTAAAACAGAGGAGCGCTTTGAAACAGTTTAAGAGTTATTTTATTAGTTCATATTATTGATTGAGCCAGTTTGTTAGGGCAAGCCTGGTTCCTCGGCTTGTATGGAAGCTTCGATACCGTACCTATGGGCCACAAATTCATTATAACTTTATAATATTGTTCAGCTGACTCAAGAGTTCGTGGAAGTGATGGACGGAGAGGAGTCAGATATGTTCCAGTACTTCAAAATTCTAATACTTCGCGGTCTCATCGCAGCGCGAAAGCATTCCGACCAGATTATACATCTCGTCGAAATTATGCGCATGGGTAAGTAATGATGCTTCCCTCTTCTGCGGATCGACCGGCTTCTGGCCTCTTTTAATAATACATTCCTTGACATGACACATGGGAGTACATTAAGAATCAAAATATGTAGGTGGAACCCCTCCAGCAATTATGTTTCGATTTCGAAGTGAGACCGGTTAAATTTAGCAGTTTTAGCGTTAGATCTAAAGAATTATTTGCCTACAACGTGTTTTAGCGTCTAATGAAAATCAATCTATAATGGCTGGCAAACTAGCTTTTAAATGTCTTAGCCACTACAAGGAGTTGTAGTCTATACATGTTACTGCAAAGCATTCGGCAGAATTGGTAATTTAATTCTTTGGAATGCTTCGCTGGTCTGAAGGGTATTAGACACAGTATAGTGACAGGCGAAGAGGCATTTTATTTTAGTCCTCAGAGGTGACAACGTGTAGTTTTATTTGTTTTAAAATGGCTGCAGGTTCATAATTTTTTCCAAATATTACATTTCAAGAAATATCAATTGTGTGTATCAGTGAATATTTGGGTACCACACGAGCTCACTGCAAGAAAACTAATGAATCGTTTACTCATTTGCAATTCTCTATTGGAGCGTAATAAAACCGAACCATTTTTGAAAAGATTGATCACTTGATGAAAAGTGGATCACCTACGACAAGAACGTGCGAAAAAGATCATGGTCAAAGGGTAGTCAATCTCCACAGACTGTAGCGAAACCCGGATTAACACGTAATAAGGTGATGCTGTGTGTATGGTGGAATTGGAAAGGCATCGATTATTATGAGCTTTTACCGCCGGGCAAATTGAAATTATCCCAAATGTATTAATCTATTTAAGCGCTCCTCTTTGTGCGATTCAATTCACAACATTTTTGCAGACCGATCGATCCTTCCGAATGTGTGCGTGCGTAGTAAAATAGTACGCGTTAGATATATATGAATGACAATCAGTTAAAAAAAAATGCATTATCACGCATCTTGAATTCATAAGATTAAAGGACAGAATGTTTGAGAATTTTTAAATTAATATTACTTATTCTTAAGTATATGTAGGAAGTATAATGGGTATAGTACAGAGACTGATTTTGTAGTTAGAAATAATAATTAATTCGTTTACACGAATTAATTATCCAACGAGTCGAGGATAAACTAGTAACGCAATACGACAAGCGCACCGTTCCACGTCAGAGCCAAGACTGTCTTAACGGCGGCTAACTGTCGCAAGTCCTCGTGCGGTTGACAGTGAACAGCATACGGTCTATTAGTTATCACCACTTGCTAACAGATATAAACTCTTGTTAAATATTACAACGGTCGACCATCCCAGACTTCATTTAAGTCTGGAACGCGCGGATATGGCTACCTCCAGGCAAACGCACTACAGCTTTTCGTTCTGCTGCGATCGTGCCACATTCGCGCCAGCAAGCCGTCGCGCGCCGTACTAGCGCTAGCGAATCATCGCACTGCTTTGCAAAATTAAAAGAAATCGAGATAAATGTATTGCGAACCATGGAATTCCGAGCTTCCAAAATTAATCACATATTCTCTTAAGAAACGGCAACTGTATGACATTTGAAAACATTTCAAAAAACGGAAACTATGTGTAGGGACGGATACCATCACATATTTCAAAGGGAAGGAGGCAACTGCGCAAAATCTACGAAAGCGGACCAAGCCTCAGACGTTCATTTACAGCACCAAAGGACCATGTGTTCGGCGGCCGCTTGAATTGCCCTGCCGTAAGATCAGCCGATAAGTAACCGATTGCAGCGGTGTAGGCTTAATCTAACCAGCGCTCGGCCGTACCTGACCATGTTCGATTAGCCATCACAACGTCTTCCTCATTGATCATTGTTGTAGAGACTTCTACGAATCCCTCGAAATCAAACCCCAATCTTGTCAACGACACAATATTCGGAGCAAACTGCAACACTGGTCAACACATTAGAACACAAAAATGTCACTTATTATTTTTAATTAATAGCGTGTTAAAGTTAATCCTTTATTGTAGTACAACCCTTAAAAGTTTTGAACTTCAAAATATAGCACATGATAATCATGTTTCGCGTGAACTATCAAATTACAACAAAACGAGAGCAGCAGGAGCACCTGAGGGTTTACAGGCATCGTCGGGGTTGTAGTCATCATGATCTGCGTGAAAAACAAATTGTTAACTATAAGGACAACATACACAGTTGCCTATTCTCTCATCTATCACACATACGAGGCCCTAATAGAGAAATACTTCTCATACCTTGGACTATAATAAAGCACTTCGCTTTCACAAGTAAACATAGGTCTTCATACGAAGTATCTGACACATACTCTTACTTGAACTTGCGAGATCCCACGTTAACTACGTGAACCACATTAAAAACGTGAACCAGGACAGCGCCTGCCAGGACAGAGCCTAATACATGTTCAGAAAACATTACCGTGCACACAGCATACGACTTCCGCGCACACAGTGTGACTCCCACGCATACAGAGTACATGACTTCCGAGGCATCGCCATGTACAGCATACGCACGCTCCGGGATGGCGCCTGCGTATACGCGCATACGCATCTGCCGAAACCAGGCCATGTTATAGCTGGACCTGGCAGTCCGTTACGACCAGCAAGGCACACACTCACGCACTTGTAATCACATCACCAAAAGAAAACATTAAAAATACTCAGTCGGAACTTGATTTCAAGAAATGCAGCACTACTCTTGGTACACCATTCGCCTTTCTAGGGCACCAAATACTGAGCTGCGGCTACACAACAACCTCTGGTATGGTCCGATCCTCATGTAAGCTTAAATACTCTCTTCAATGTCAGAACTAATTGGCTCTATTTCACTTTCATCAGTTATACTTCGGTTTTCCGGCATTTTTCGCAACCAATTAAAAATGTAAACACTCACTCTTACAAAATAGTTTCTGAGCCAATGTTAAGGATAAATTTACTTTCCTCATGTATCTAATGGTGATCAGTGGCAGCGACAAATAATAAGTCCGCGGCGTCATAACTCCACGCTTTCCACTAAACCATTCCAAGTTTGTCGACTACGTAATGCTCGGAGTAAACTGTAACACTTATCATCACATTAGATCACAAAAATACTACTTAGTGTTTTTAAGTCATAGTACGTTAAAGTAATCATGTTCTTTATTTCGGTACATCGTTTAAACATTTTGAACTTTAAAACTAGGCATGTAAATCACACCTCGTGTATCATCAAATTATAACATTACTTGAGCAAGTTAAACTTCCACTGAATGCAAACTATAACTCATTCAGAATATCTCCAACATTTCTTTCGACATTTGTTATCATATTTGGGTACGTTAAGAAATAATGAAATTACTTGCGGGTACTTTCTATTATAAATTGAATAAAAAGATTTAACTTTTGACTTAAATAAATTCACTTTATCTTTTCTCTACACTTTAATGATACGACAATATCGTAAGTAGGACAGCAAATTTCATTACGGTATTTAACATAAAAATAGAATCATCAATGCAGAATGCATTATAGTCTTTCACAAATGTAATAATCCTCATACTATTCGAAGATTGTATGTGGGCAAAAATGGGGACTTTATCCCACTTCTGATGTAGGAAGTATAATGGGTATAGTACAGAGACTGATTTTGTAGTTAGAAATAATAATTAATTCGTTTACACGAATTAATTATCCAACGAGTCGAGGATAAACTAGTAACGCAATACGACAAGCGCACCGTTCCACGTCAGAGCCAAGACTGTCTTAACGGCGGCCGCTCCGTCCGTTTTATATAAGCAGGACGGGTGGCAACGCAGGTGCAATGCCGCAGGTGTGCGGTACACGTGTCGTTTACAAGAATTCTGTCTAGCCAGACCGACGCCACCGCACCTACAACGGTGCAGGTGCCGTCATATACATAGAAGTATTCGAATAGTATACACAGAAGTCTTCGAGTAGTATACATAGAATCTTCGAATAGTATACATACATAGATGCTTTCGAGCAGTATACACAGAGGTCTTCGAGCAGGATACACAGAAGTCTTCGAGTAGTATACATAGAAATCTTCGAGTAGTATACAAATAAGTACTAGAGTAGTATACTAAGAAGCTTTCGAGCAGTATACACAGATGTCTTCGAGCAGTATACACAGAAGTCTTCGAGTAGTATACACAGAAGTTTTCGAATAGTATACATACATAGAAGCTTTCGAGCAGTAAACGCAGGGGTCTTCGAGTAATATACACAGAAGTCTTCGAGTAGTATACATAGAAGTCTTCGAGTAGTATCCATAGAATTTTCGAATAGTATACATACATATAAGCTTTCGAGCAGTATACACAGAGGTCTTCGAGCAGGATACACAGAAATCTTCGAGTAGTATACATAGAAGTCTTCGAGTAGTATACATAGAAGTCTTCGAGTAGTATGCATAGAAGCTTTCGAGCAGTATACACAGAGGTCTTCGAGCTTTACACACAGAAGTCTTCGCGTAGTATACATAGAAGTCTTCGGGTAGTATGCATAGAAGTCTTCGAGTAGTATGCATAGAAGCTTTCGAGCAGTATACACAGAGGTCTTCGAGCAGGATACACAGAAGTCTTCGAGTAGTATACATAGAAGTCTTCGAGTAGTATACATAGAATTTTCGAATAGTATACATACATAGATGCTTTCGAGCAGTATACACAGAGGTCTTCGAGCAGGATACACAGAAGTCTTCGAGTAGTATACATAGAAATCTTCGAGTAGTATACAAATAAGTACTAGAGTATTATACTAAGAAGCTTTCGAGCAGTATACACAGATGTCTTCGAGCAGTATACACAGAAGTCTTCGAGTAGTATACACAGAAGTTTTCGAATAGTATACATACATAGAAGCTTTCGAGCAGTAAACGCAGAGGTCTTCCAGCAATATACACTGAAGTCTTCGAGTAGTATACATAGAAGTCTTCGAGTAGTATCCATAGAATTTTCGAATAGTATACATACATATAAGCTTTCGAGCAGTATACACAGAGGTCTTCGAGCAGGATACACAGAAGTCTTCGAGTAGTATACATAGAAGTCTTCGAGTAGTATACATAGAAGTCTTCGAGTAGTATGCATAGAAGCTTTCGAGCAGTATACACAGAGGTCTTCGAGCTTTACACACAGAAGTCTTCGCGTAGTATACTATGATATAGGTAATGTGTCAATGAAATAGGCGTGTTGATGCTTCTATAACTTTAATTAGACTGTCTTTATTCTTAACTCTAATACACATATAGTCGTGGGGGCTATACCACACTACACCTCCCACCGACAAAAAAATAAAAAAATAAATGATTATATTTGTTTTTTTTTAACTTATAAAAATAAATATAAAACATGTTTAATATTTATATAAATTACAAAAATACAATGTAATTATATATTATTTGACCTAAATATAAATTACAAAAATAAAATATAGGTATATTCTATGGGTAGTTCGGGTGGCCAGATCCCTCTACACCATAGTAATTTCAAGGTCACATTAGAATTGGTATGATGTATCATGCATACATACAACATACTTATTTGACATAATTAGGTAATTCGCGAAAATCTAGTATAGTTGTACATTCATTTATATTTTAAAATACTCTGCTCTTATATATTTATTTATACTTTTCATCTCATTCCTTATTTTCGATTGTTAGGCCTTTTTATTATCTTTTTTTTTTCATAATTCTTGTACGTACTTTTTTTTATTTCTTATTATTTTTGACCTGCTACTAGCTTTATATATTTATTTATTTATTTATTAGATACCGGGAATCGGAGTATTATTTCACCTCTTTGGCGTTATTGGCCATTTGCATTATACTCATTTTATAATTAATTCATGATATTTATCATGCGGGTACTTCATAAATATGGGCCCCCCATTTATTTGGGTATTGTATTACATTTTCACTACATTTATTTCATTTTACTGGTACATAAACTTTTTATCGTATTATATCAAGGTAAAACTGTACCTTGGGTTATGCGCACAACCTGGAGGTCTACGTTTAAGTCATTTTAAAAGGACTCCAACAATTGGATATGACCTCTATGTACCATCATTAAGGGTAACAATATTTACGACTTCTCTGGTCCCAACAGTACTAATATGAGTAAACTCGTTCACATCTCACTTGTACTGTAGGTATTGTTCCCTAGTACCCGTTACTTCCGATTTTATCATCCAATCATGGAAACATACCCTGCTCGAGGACTATATGCTTTACCAGTGATGGACGTTCCCTTATCTCTCCATTACCTACTTATTTATGCAGGTCAACTTTTGTTTTCTTTCTATTTATTCCTTTACATTTATAGTATTTATTAACCATTATTCAATTGAACCATAATTTTCACGTACACGGCTTGCGTACATACATGATTAATATTATGGATAATATTCTTATACAATTCATAATAAATTCTCATTTACCTCATTAACAATACATTAAAACTGATTCCGTATTTAATAGTGTCAGAACCACCTTAAAAATTAATCGGTTATTAGGTTTTCCAAACGCTCAGCTGATCAAGCTGATTGTATGTGGATATGCTAACCTCCGATAATTTTTCTTTACCTTACTCTCACACTTAGGTACACACTATTAATATTTTTCATTTACAATTACGTATTCCGTAACTTAGCCAAACATTTACTCACATCTTTTACAAATTTATATCATATAATAGTCTCATATAATCTTTAGTTACATCGTTGTTGGTCAGGGATTGAGGCTCACAATATGGGCACAACAAATTTTAAATTAATTAATTGTATACATAATATAATGAGTTTCAAAATTGAATTAAACGAAGTATATATATATTCATAATATACACAAATAGGCTAGATATTCAATTTATTATCCCAAAAATAATGAATTATAATAGTTAAAACCTTATGATATGAAAGTTTAATCAATATAAAATCAAAAATAAATTATTGTATTTCATATTAAGATATAGAACAAAGAAGCAAAGCAACGTAATAGTTTTCAATAACAATAACATAATCGCATAACGACAGACAGATCAAAATACAAATTGTAATCCCACTCTTAGCAGCGCAAGCGATTTGAGACACCTTTGTTTTAATTAACAAAATACGTATATGGCAACGTTTTCGATTACAACGTATTATGATCACTTAATTTAAACGTAACTTATACAATGTTATTATTACATACATAATATGTGGATACAAGTAAATTGATAGTTTTGAATTCCTTATTTACACAGAATTTTAGACACATTACTTTTGCTTAGATCGAAAAAGATTGCTAGAAGTATGGTATTTACTATATCGTTTACAGAAAATAATTGAATAATTACTGTAACAAATATCAACTTTACACAACAAAACATTAATTTATTTAAGCATTCAAAAGAGCAATTTTAATTTTTAAGTAGGTTATATTTTATACACATAATATAAGTATAACTTTAAGGTTCACTGCCTTTTTAAAAGAAAAAGAAAACCTAACACTTATTAATACCGAATTGTAACTAACCCTTTTCAAATCGAATACTTACATTTAAATAAAATTTACTATAGGAAAAAAAATCACAACGAAAAATATCATCGGTGTTATTTTAACTAAACGAAAAATTAATTGATGAAAAACCATGGTAAATTTAAATACATAAAAATGTAGTCTACTAAAATATTTCATTCGTTTTTATGGGACACAGTAATAAAAATAATATAAAGCAATAAACAAAAGCTGAATAAAATTTAATATAAAATTGTCTTGTTCCTTAATACAAGTGCCATAAGTGCCTAAAATGTAATGTGCTTAATTTTTGATATTGTATTATGATTGCATTTTTTATATATAAATAGTGATAAAAATATGGAAAAATCAATTGTATCTTGAATTATCTGATAAATAATTTCAGTTTAAACATACGTGTATTATATATGGAATATTTAATACTTAACTTCAACAAATATTATAGCAAAAAGAATATAAAACAATCTCAAATTGATAAATAAAGTTTTAAATGGAATTAAAATCACACAGGTGCGAACTGCGAAGTTACCTCTTAAGTATTTATTCTTTGTTCTTTTCGGCTCAGTTTTCACATTCTTCTGGACGAAGCTTGCAAAAAAAATAACTGTTTCATTCCTTTTTAAATAAACCTGCCGTTTCTTGAATTTAGTTCTTTGGTAATTATATTTTTAAAAAAATCACTTTTTATTTTCCTCATTCTTTCTTAGTTGCTTTCATAGTAGGTACTATTATACATTTAAATTATATTACTTCATGTTCATTATACTTTTTATATTTCAGTCAGCTTCTGTAAAATTATTATTGTGGCCTCTTCTTGTATTCATGTTTATTAATTTTTTTTTCGTCACATCCGGGTATATATTCCGTGTAGTCAGGGAAATATTTATATTATTTTCAACAATTTTTGCAGGCCGTGGCGGCGCGCGTGCATTGTAGCAGCGCACCGCCTGGCAGGGTCGCCATGTAATATAGGAAGTGTGTCAATGAGAAGAGGCGTGTTGATGCTTCTATAACTTTAATTAGACTGTCTTTATTCTTAACTCTAATACACATATAGTCGTGGGGGCTATACCACACTACAATACATAGAAGTCTTCGGGTAGTATGCATAGAAGTCTTCGAGTAGTATGCATAGAAGCTTTCGAGCAGTATACACAGAGTTCTTCGAGCAGTATACATAGAAGTCTTCGAGTAGTATACATAGATGTATTATAGCAGTATACACAGAAGTCTTCGAGCAGTATAAATATTAGATTTCGAGCAGTATACACAGAAGTCTTTGAGCAGTATACATAAAAGTCTTCGAGCAGTATACAGAGAATGTTTGAGCAGTATACATAGGAGTCTTCGAGCGGTATACACAATCTTGGAGTAGTATACATATAATTCTAGTCTACGTCTAAGTCTACGAGTGGTATATATATATGTTTGTAGTTGAATGTAAGAGCGTAATTGGTTCTTGGTCTGCAGGCGGGCAGCTGGCATGCTTGCGCAGCAGCGGCGCGGTGGCGGCGTTCCGCGCGCGCTTCCACCCCGGCCGCACCGAGCTGCAGCTCACGGCGCTCGTGGACCGCCTCGTGCGCGACGCGCTACGCTCGCTCTCCACGCGCCTCTACGACAACTACCAGTACTACACCAACGGCATACTCTAGCCTCACCTCGCCACACTTCCCCGGCCGCACCGAGCTGCAGCTCACGGCGCTCGTGGACCGCCTCGTGCGCGACGCGCTACGCTCGCTCTCCACGCGCCTCTACGACAACTACCAGTACTACACCAACGGCATACTCTAGCCTCACCTCGCCACACTTCCCCGGCCGCACCGAGCTGCAGCTCACGGCGCTCGTGGACCGCCTCGTGCGCGACGCGCTACGCTCGCTCTCCACGCGCCTCTACGACAACTACCAGTACTACACCAACGGCATACTCTAGCCTCACCTCGCCACACTTCCCCGGCCGCACCGAGCTGCAGCTCACGGCGCTCGTGGACCGCCTCGTGCGCGACGCGCTACGCTCGCTCTCCACGCGCCTCTACGACAACTACCAGTACTACACCAACGGCATACTCTAGCCTCACCTCGCCACACTTCCCCGGCCGCACCGAGCTGCAGCTCACGGCGCTCGTGGACCGCCTCGTGCGCGACGCGCTACGCTCGCTCTCCACGCGCCTCTACGACAACTACCAGTACTACACCAACGGCATACTCTAGCCTCACCTCGCCACACTTCCCCGGCCGCACCGAGCTGCAGCTCACGGCGCTCGTGGACCGCCTCGTGCGCGACGCGCTACGCTCGCTCTCCACGCGCCTCTACGACAACTACCAGTACTACACCAACGGCATACTCTAGCCTCACCTCGCCACACTTCCCCGGCCGCACCGAGCTGCAGCTCACGGCGCTCGTGGACCGCCTCGTGCGCGACGCGCTACGCTCGCTCTCCACGCGCCTCTACGACAACTACCAGTACTACACCAACGGCATACTCTAGCCTCACCTCGCCACACTTCCCCGGCCGCACCGAGCTGCAGCTCACGGCGCTCGTGGACCGCCTCGTGCGCGACGCGCTACGCTCGCTCTCCACGCGCCTCTACGACAACTACCAGTACTACACCAACGGCATACTCTAGCCTCACCTCGCCACACTTCCCCGGCCGCACCGAGCTGCAGCTCACGGCGCTCGTGGACCGCCTCGTGCGCGACGCGCTACGCTCGCTCTCCACGCGCCTCTACGACAACTACCAGTACTACACCAACGGCATACTCTAGCCTCACCTCGCCACACTTCCCCGGCCGCACCGAGCTGCAGCTCACGGCGCTCGTGGACCGCCTCGTGCGCGACGCGCTACGCTCGCTCTCCACGCGCCTCTACGACAACTACCAGTACTACACCAACGGCATACTCTAGCCTCACCTCGCCACACTTCCCCGGCCGCACCGAGCTGCAGCTCACGGCGCTCGTGGACCGCCTCGTGCGCGACGCGCTACGCTCGCTCTCCACGCGCCTCTACGACAACTACCAGTACTACACCAACGGCATACTCTAGCCTCACCTCGCCACACTTCCCCGGCCGCACCGAGCTGCAGCTCACGGCGCTCGTGGACCGCCTCGTGCGCGACGCGCTACGCTCGCTCTCCACGCGCCTCTACGACAACTACCAGTACTACACCAACGGCATACTCTAGCCTCACCTCGCCACACTTCCCCCGGCCGCACCGAGCTGCAGCTCACGTTGTTTCGCCGCCACTTGGAAATGTACGTAGCGAGAAATGAGACCCTAACACACTGCAATATGTAGTATACCGTGACACTGACATAATACGACGTCACACACAGTGCGAAATGAATATTGTGACACATTAACACTCCTAAATGGTATTATTTACTGTAGTACACTGATATAGTGCGACATGGCGTAGTGTATTGTGACAAAATGACACTACATCATGGCGCAATGACTAAGTGCTACATGGTGTAAATCACTGTGGCCCTACTAACACAGTGCGACATAGTGTAAACACACACAGTGTAAATGATTGTGTCATACTTGCATTACAACATGATAAAAGATGTATAACACACTAGCATACAATCATACTGTGACCTCTCCACTTCAACCCGGCCGCACGAAGTCGATATGACTCCTAAACTTTAGAGAGAAGTCAAATCACCGTGTCACAGATAGTGTTACGATACTTTGTATTGCATGTGACCATTATACAATTTTTTAGATCGTAATTTTATTACCTTATTTGCTTGAAGCTCTTCAAATATATTTTTTTTCGTTCTACTAAACAATCTTTTAATACTGATTAATAATTCATAATTTTTCAGTAAAAATTTTATTGGGAGACTTGTTTATATCATATAAAAAATATTAACAGATTGTGAATCCGAAGCCAGTGACATAGTTGTGAAATCCTGCATATAGAACATGGAGAATTAAGTCCTTAATGTGTTGGGCTAGTTATTATAACGTTTAAAAATAAATTACTGACTATTCCACGTGAATTTTGCCCCCCTTTCGTTAGCATTGGTTTGACTGTACTGTGTGTTTTCATAAGGATTGCCTGTACTTTTCGTATGGTACAAAATTAATTGTTAAATATTATTAAAAATAAATACAATTTTCCTTATATAGATGATGCAGTCATATTTGAAGTTAAAATATGTCGGCACCATCTACATAACGAAGAAAATTATTTATTTTTTCTATACTTGTGCCATATCTTACATACTTGTATGCTTCAATGAACTTTTTCAATGCTGTCACGAAATAACGTCCAAAATTCGGGGAAGAAATTAGCATATAAATATCATTATTTATAATTGTTCATTATATACGTTTGGTCCCGTCCATGGTAGTCACATTTAGGGAATCTTTACTTTTAACTATCTTTATAATTTGTTAGCATTTCTTTGCTATATGATGTGATATAATGTGGCAAAGTTGATGTCAAATTATAAAAATGGTATGTATGATGACTATGAAAACAAACTGTCTAAAGCAAGTGTTGCGGTGAGTTAAGGGGTTCAATTAAACATTATTACACGTTATCTGCTCTTGCGCGAAAAATAAACAGAAACTTTAATATTAATACTGTGCATATAAATTATTACCTTTTAATGATGAAAAATCACCGACGTGCAAATTGTAAATAAATATAATGAAAATATGATAATTTTCGCAATGAGAAGACTGATTGTTTCAGGTGTGAGTTTGGTTTAGTTCTAGGTTTCCCCATTCTGAATAAGTTTAAGTTTGTAAATTGTACTTTTTGTTGAGAAATTGATCGTGCATTTGTGATTGTGAATTAAATGTATTGACATGAGACATGGACGAGTTTTGGATGGCGTTCTATATAAATAATTCGTTTGTATGTTAGATAAAATTTTCACTTTTTTCACTGTGCGCAATCCAGTCTGGGATGCCATTAAATAATAAATGGTCCCATAATGTTGAATAGTGTACTAGATAAAATTATAGTTAAGTAACCGCTAGAGTCAAGGTTTAAGACACCAAACTGTTAATAAAAATATCCAGTTACAATAATTATTAATCTAAAAACCCTCCTTTATGTGGTAATTAAGTGTGATTGTTGATGTGTTGTCGCTAGATAGGAATATATCTTAAAATGCTTATGTAAACAAATTATAATTCCTTTTCTATTACGTCTTGCTGTTATGAGAATATTTTCTAAATTATTACTGTTTATGTATTGGAAATCCAAGAATATTTCAAATTTGTATCTTTTTTGTATCAAATATGTGGATAAAAGACTACATTTGTGTTATGCAGTTTACAGTGTCTTAAATTATACTTGTGTTTACGAAAATATAAATTAGATATACGATAGGTAGGATTTTATGCTTTAAATTAATATAGTCTATTTTTAAATATTTTTTAAAACAGTCTGCAAGTTTTAGCTTAAAACCACCTCTGTTATATTTTTTAAATATTGAATCGTTATAACCTACTATGGGATGAGCGGAGAACGTCAGCAAGGAAGCATTTGTTCACATTTTGATATTTTGGGATTATGAATAGTGGATACTGTTTTAATATTAATAAATACTATATTTTAAGATTTATGAAGATCTGCACTTTTTTCATCAATGAAACATGAAATTTACATGTAATTTTTCAAAGGAAAATATCCCTTATATAATTGTCCCAAATAGCAAATTTCCAATGTTCTGATTTTTCAAACGGACTATTAAAATACTAAAACGATTGCATTTTTGTAATTTTGTTGCATATTTTGTACCAATATTTACAAATACACATTATTTTTTAAGTATTTCGGCTAAGGAGCGTAATTGTGTCCCAGAGTGATGCTAGATGTCTATTATATTATTGATATTTATCAAGAAGTACTTGTGCGATTGAATTATTGTAAACATACGACATGTACATAGCTTACTATTATATTGAAAGTACCTTTTAATATTTTATCCGATATTCTTACTGTATTAGATAATAAAATTAAATTTGTAAATATGTTAATTCTTATGGTAATCTGGTTAAGAATCCAAAGTCCGAAATATTGGAATTTCTACTCAAAATTGATTATTCGTGTTATTTATCAAGTTGTACAGATAATTATAAGTAGGTAACTTTAATGTTTAATTTTTTTTAAATAATATACATATATCATGATTTTTCGCACGTGTTTATTTGATGCCCTTATTCCTTTATTAACTACTGATATTATTAAACATTTTAAAAATTAGGGCGGAAGGTGGTCGTCAAACTAGTTAAGACAATTTTTTTTTATTAGTACCATAATTTACCATAATCGTGCTCGTTTGACACTGCTATCCTTCACCGGTCTGGAATATAGACGTATAGAATGGACTGAGCGTTAGCCTCACAAAAGTGACCATTCTCTAGAAAGAGATAAGCGACTGTGCGGCCAAAGCCAGTGACGTGGACCAATCAGAGTTCTAGAAAGAAACTACTACTGGCCGCACATTCGGTATGTCTCTCTCGCACTTTTCGGTCTGTATTCACAGCACAAATGAGTACGGAACGTACAGTCAATTCTCTCATGTCTATGGTCTGGAAACAGCTTGATCTAATAATCAAAGGCCGTGAGTACTATTAATTAGTGATCGACCGAAGATTCGGTTTCGGTTTCAGCAAGTTTCGGCAA